TATGTGCATGCAATGGCGTGGTCAGTTAAGTCATGAAGTTACCAAAATAATTTTATATTTTATATGAGTCACATTTAAGAACATGTCTCTGAAATGGTTTTCAAAACTGTCCTGGAGGCACGGTCTCCTCCACTCCACAAACGAGCGCAGAAACACTAGAAAAAAGGAGGAAATCAATAACTTTTGTATCTTTAAGGATTCATCTATATTTAATTTACAGTTTAGTGTTTGATAACTTTATTCAATTTATGTATATTTCCTACTTGCTGAAGGGCACAGGTAAATATGATATTTATTATAATGGGTTTATGTGAAGATTGTTTTAAGTTCACTTTTAATTTAGAAGTTATTTTTTTTAAGTCTAATAAATGTTAAAATTGATGTCTCTCAATTATATTGTAATGTTGAATGGCTATAGTCAATGGTTAAATATTGTGGGGTGGGGGGCAATTTTATAGAGATATCAGTATTGGTATAATTGATACTGGCCTTCAGCCATAAAAAAGATGCCATTAAACAAATATTTAAAAATATACTGTCTTTATGTTGTTTGTACATTAATTTGAAGATTGAATGTAAAATTATTGAAATGTATACACCCCTGTATAAATCTATACACCCCTCCCCCTCCTCTGACGAAACAACCCAGCGCGGGCTTACTTTAACCCAGCTGTTGATCTCTTCTTGGCCTTTTGTCACAGACTCGAACTTGTGCCGTCTGCCTGAGCGCCATAGCTCAATGCTTGCTTCACTTCTTATATGGTCAAGGTGAGAGAAGACTAGAGAACTAGGAAATCTATTGAAGAACTTGTTGTTTGGGTGTGACCTTCACTAACTCCTCCATTTAATTATGCTTATGCGCATTATCTGCTGATTTGACGTATGCATGTGCAGTCGTGTGATGCATTTGCATGCATATGTAATGCATGTATAGCACAGGTGTGCTTTTTACCAGTTTTGCTCTGCGAGTTTAAGTCAAGCTATTCTATGAAAATGTGTTTCGCTACACTACATTGTGAAAGTGTGTGACTTTTGAGGCAATGTCTGCTAGCTGTGAAATCATCTACATGCTAGTGCACTCCTGACTGACTGTCTTGAACTTCCTGGACAACAGACCAGAAATACTGATGTCTCATGTTGCACTGCAGATTTTTGTTCAATGAAATGCTCTCTAGAATGATCTTTTGATATAGCCCACCCAAACTTCCTGTTTCAACAGGAAATATGTCAACACAACATAGAAAACTGTACTTGGTAAGTGATTTCATGGGGTTTTTAAGCTATATAAGGGGATATTTAAAATGAAACTATATAACAATCCAATAATAATATTCATTTTTACAATCAGTGCAGTATTTATTAAAAAAAAACAAAAAAAAACAATGGGGACCTGTAAATGTGACTGAAAACATGTAGGTGCAGTAGAGTTGTAACAAAACCCTGATGTATATATATATATATATATATATATATATATATAAGATTAAAATTAAAAGTAAATAAATAAATATTACATGTACAATAGAGTAGAATAGAATAATGCAACTTGATTAAAACAATTTTCCAAATAATAGAAATTTGTAATATAAATTTTTCATCAGTTGGGTCTTTATACAAGGGATTTATACAATAACTTTTATGATGCTGTCCTTTCAGAGGCATCATGCCCATTCAAACTGAGGAGCACGTACCCCCTCAGATTTTTGAATGCAACTTCCAAAAGACAAAAAAATAGCCAAATTATATTTTTTACAGCATTAAGACCAGTCACACACGATTCTGTTGAGCTTATGAATGCAATCAGAGGCGTTCAGATGAGTCATCGCTGTTTTGTTCACTCGCTCGCTGAAGGAATCCTGCTCTCTGGCGATTCTCTCATCAGAAACAACAAAGTGCAGATGTGCAGGAAATGAGCATCTTGTGAGAATTTCCATTAAAAATAAAAAGTGCAGACACATTACAGTAATATGAATGTGCTTAATTGTCATGCAAATGTACAAAAAGTCCTAATGGTCCGAATGACAGGCTTAATTTTCTTTATGGCAAATACAACAATATACTTAATTCTGTCTTTCGATTTTGGAGTGAAATATGAGCTGGAGATGTTTTCATGAGATTCTTATAAAACAGAAGGTGAACCGAGAATGAATGAATGCATTACAATATTGCATTACTCCCTAAAAAAGTAACTAATTACATTACTTAGTAAGTAAGTAAGTAAAATTGATTTATATATCACCTTTCACAGACAAGGAGGAGTCACAAAGTGCTTTACAGTAAGAAAATAAAACCAAAACAAATTAAGTACCAGGTGTACAAATACCACAAAATTCAGTAACAGCCAAACCATATTGTTAATTAAAAGCTTGTCCAAAAATATGAGTCTTAGTTACTTTTTAGTGAAAGTAATGTGTTACGTTACTTTCGAGTTACTTTTTAAATCTGGGCAGGGCTTGCTTGTTTTGTTTTTAATGCATTACTTTACTAGTTACTTGAAAAAAGTAATCTGATTACGTAACTTGCGTTACTTGTGATGCGTTACCCCCAGCACTGCGTAGGCTTATTTGTTTTTAAAAATCCGGCATTTACAGTGCATTAGATCGTGACAGTGCGTGCTTGCGTGCATAAGAGATGGAGTGAGCGCGGGTTTGGCTAGATGTATCTCATTCGGCACAAATCCAAATGTTTCCATATTCGCAATGTATTTGAATGTTAAACTATTATTTATAATGTAAACTAGGCTTGTACTTTACACACATTCGCATATAGACGGAAAAGATCATCCTCTTCACATGAGCAAAAACGTCCTTGGCATAACAGCAGAGTGGACCGGTATACTACGGTCTATTTAAACCGACCAGTGTAACCTTTTATATGTTTGGTTGACTGTATTTTATTTTGATAATGAACAGACTGCGATGTATTTGAATTGTGTGCGCGAGGCGCCGGTGCGATCGAACAGCTGAAACATAAAAAAAACTCAATTTTTGGAGTAAGATATAATCCGCAAAAGTGTTTACTTTTATTTTTGCACACTCACAATAAAAACAGAAGATTTGTGCTTTTGTAAAATAAAGCAAACGAACAGGATGCGCGTTGTCATCTCGGTTCTCGGTTTCCTTTCCGTGAACTGGTTTATGGAACTTACATAGGCTATACATTTTCCTTAAAGCATCCCATTTTGTCCCAGGGCTTGAAAACCTGTGCTCTGGGCTAGTTCGGTCCTACAGAAACTTGTGGCATCACCGTTTAGTGACATCAGTGAATGCTCCGGGAAAATGTGTTGTCAGTGTCGGTCACAGCGCCTTTTAATTGCTGTTTTGAACCCAGTAATTATTTATTTACAAATTGTAAGCTCTGCTTATGACACAAGTGTGGCATAAAAGCTTTGTTTATTAGAGGAATAACTGGTTAGCTGGTAAATGTTACATCACGACCATGCTTTTGGATGCCGTTTGAGCTCATATAGCCTACATTTATGCGGCTTTGTTCTGGTTTTGCCGGTTGGTCACGAATTTCCACAAATTCAATAATATTTAGGCATTGTTTCTTTTCCTAAATCCTCACCGTCTAACCCTCTAATTTCGCAGGTTTATTTTATTGTCATTCACTTTTAATCACTGTTTTTGCATCTCTTACTGTGGTAAACATGCGGAAGGGAAATTAAAGATTTTATGGCCATGAATTAAGAATTTGTTCGATTTATTAATTCGTTCCTTCATTTTAGTTAAATCATGGGTTATTTAAGGAACAAAATTAACGAAACATGGACAGTGGCCACAAATTAGTAAGTCGTAGGAACAAATTAACAAGTTGTAGGAATGAATATCTGTCCTGTGTCCCGCAGCCCTGCAAAGCGCACGATATGAAACAATTATCTGGGGTTATATAATTTCTATTGCTTTCCATGTTGAAGAACTTTGTGTTGTTTCTATTTTAATGTACTTTTAAAGTTTAAATCACATTAAAAGCTTAATTTGTACATTGTGAATGAATGACATGAATGAATGAATCACAGCCGCTCGCACGTGTTTTGCGCTTCAACCATCGATGGCTTTAATCGATTGCATCTCTTATCAACAATCGATCATCGCTGAATCGTTGACATCCCTACATTGATCAGTTGATTGATTTCTCCTACTGATGATGCAGATGACCAGAAAACCAGTTCACCCAGGTCTAGTCCTGCTTGATGAGGAACCCAGTCAGATGCTGTATTTCTGTAACAGGTGAAGGGGATGTTTTTGAGACTCACCGGTGCTGACGAAGGTCTCCATCTTGTCCTTGAAGGGCTGTAGATGTTCCTCAGAGGAGTTTTCACACACCTGCTCAACCTCCTTCACACACGCTGCAGGACAAACACATGAAGAATCAGAAATACCGTCTGCATACGGCCTACTAAAACAAATACACACATCAGACATCACATCTGATATCAGTCCCATCCAGTTATTATCACTGCCTCAGCAGTGGATGCTCTGCAGTGAATGGGTGCCGTCAGAATGAGAATCCAAACAGCTGATAAAAACATCACAAATAATCCACAGCACTCCAGTCCATCAGTTAACATCTGGAGAAGACAAAAAATGTCAAGTTTTGGGCTGTTTTGGCTTGTAAACGGTGCTTGATCTGTGCAGATTTCTCTCCTGATTCAGACCAGAACACTTTTTCACTGGAGGAAGTGTTATTATGGATTATGGACTCTATGGTATTTGAGTTAAAAACGTCTTAATGCTGGATGTGTTTCAGTTTTTGTCTTCTCCAGATGTTAACTGATGGACTGGAGTGCTGTGGATTACTTGTGGGTTATTGTGATGTTTTTATCAGCTGTTTGGACTCTCATTCTGACGGCACCCATTCACTGCAGAGCATCCATTGCTGAGACACTGATGCAATGCTACATTTCTCCAAATCTGATGAAGAAACAAACTCATCCTAATCTCGGGTGACCTGAGGATGAGCACATTTGCAGCACATTTTTATTTTTGGGTGAACTGTTCCTTTAATTAAAGGTGTCTTGTTTTAATTCAACTTTGACTCCAAATAGAGCAGCTGATGTCACACGCAGTTCATTTATCACACTAGAAATGGCAAGTCAAGTGCATTGTATTGTATATCAGCCACAGAGTTTTTAAGCATACACAACATTCCCGTAACGCACCGCATACTAACTACATATTGCATGAATGGTATGATATTAGGAACTGATGGGCTGCTGAGTGAAGCAGCAAGGCGGTGAATTAATGAAGCGCAGGTGAGTTCTGCGTATCACGTTACCAGCACATCCATAAACGAGTTAAACGAGAAACATGAGGAAGAGGTGTGTGAATCTCATCTCAAACAGATGAGCATCAAAGACGCTTTTGGAGCGAATTCAATGGAACCAGAGCAAGAATGCTTTTGATTTCCGGACCGACTGCCCTGGTGTCAAACATGAGACTCGTTTATGAGTTTCCTAATGATTTCAGAGTATGCAGCTCATTATGATGACGGTGAGTTTGATATCTGTCTGAAACGACATCATCATCGTCTCAGTGCATGCTTCGCATCTTTGAGCCAATCAGCTGAGCTGTAGATGTCATGTGACGACATGTGTCTCTGAAGCAGCACAGATGTGGATGGAGTTTGACCCGCTGTTCGTTTGTGTTGTTTGTGCTTCACAGAGTCTTTGTTGTGCTGCCAAACAACTGCGTTCACACAAACTCACAGAAATCACTCAGCAGCTCTGTTCTCTGCCCTCCAAACGTGTGTGTATGGATATGTTTAGCATTAATGAATCTAGTAAATACCTGCATGTGTTTATCATTGCTGTAATATGGATTTTTATAAAGCTTTGTTTTCATATAAACCTCATACTTTAACAAAATCGCAATTGATTTGTTCTCTGAAAGTTCATCTATGATTTATCTTTACATCATATCTTTACTTAACTCAAGGACACAATTAATAATAATAATGACCCGTATTTAAAAAAAAATACAAATTTTACAGATTAAATGGAATCTGTTTTTAATAAGTTTTTATTTATTTTATTTATTGGTTTTTCATTACAAATCAAATTAAACAATTCCTCAACCCTCACCAATAAATCCCTGGGATATATATATATATATATATATATATATATTACATATATAGATCAAATCTATTTTGTAAATGCATATTATATATATATAGTTTTTTTAATTAATTTGCGTATGTCTGTGATATTTTATATGACTAATTATTTTATTTTGTTAATATGTTCAATTAGATTTAATTTTTATATTTTATGTTTTCACCCTAGTTAAAGCTTTAGTGGTTTTTTTGTAGTTTTTAAAATTAAAATGAAAAAAAAATTATTGATTTGCATTTATTAGTGTTGTTTTATATGACTGATAATTTCATTTTGTTAATATCTTGAATTAGATTTAATTTTCATATTTTCTGTTTACACTTTAATATTAAAGTTTTAGCAATTTTATTGTCATTTTAATATGCCTATATAGTTTTAATTTTTTATTTATTAGTTATAGCTTGTCTAGTTTTAGCTATTTTAGTAGTTCAAGCTAAATTAAACTGAACTAACTGAAATAATATATTTAATGTCAGTTAACGTTTATTTTGTTTTTAAGTAACAAAAATGTCAATCCTCTTAAACTCCACCTCTTTCTTATAAGAATGCTTTCAAATCCACCTCCATCCAATCAGCATCTGATGCTTCATGAAAACAAGTTATTATACATAATAAATATTGACTAATGGCTACTTAAAGAAGAGACAAGGGGAACCAAATGAAGACATCAGGTTATCGCATTAAAAAATAAAAAACAATCAATAAATAATAAGAACACAGAAAATAAACAGAGCATCGACTGTGGGATCACAGCATCACTCATGACACATCCAATGAATCTAGACTGAAACAGGACTGAATATTGAGCTTCAGTTGCAGTCTTGAGTCTTCCATCGTTTTAAACAACTAACCTGTAAAACCACGAGAGCTGATTTATCTCGAGGCGCCGGCCTTGGCCTGTCAGGCGGCTAACAGCGGGGATTTATACGGCTCTGACAGAGCTCTGAGGTTGTATATAATTGTGGATTATCTACTGAAATTCTTCGGCTTTGCTGCGATGGAAATGATCCACTGCATGCTATATAAATAACTCCCGGCCGGCTCGCCAGACAAACGTCTTGTCTCCTGAAAGACTTTCCAAAACATGACGTCTAAAGCCCTGTGAGATGGAGTTTGTATGCGTGTACAAGCATGGTTTTGGTTAATTCGCTCTTTCATCATTTGTAACAATGGAGGATGCGAGGAATGCCTCTATTGTCTCCACTCGTGGCATATGGGCTCCATTGATGCACCACTTACGCTCTTATTAAAGGTTATGTAAATGTTAGGACAAAACATTCTTCAAATAATGTTTATGTGACGTTCGTACAACATTATTCATATCTGACATAGGTTCTTGTAGTGTTGAGAGGAAACATTCTTAGCACAATGTTCTCAAAACGTGTCGTTAATGTTTGTTCAATGTTTTTGTAATGTTAGCAGAAAGAAATTTGATTATAATATTCATGTAACTTCCAATGATGATGTTTGTTTTTGATACATTTTAATAGAAAATGTTCTTAGAGCAATATTCGTGGAATATTAAACATAACCGATGAACTAAATCTTGGGGGGAAATGTGTTTTTTTTATTATTCTTAAAAAATCCTCAGAACGTTTTCAAAATAATAGACTGGAACGTTCCTCTAACGTTCACATAACCAAGAAAAAAAACGTTATTTAAATGTAAAAATGGGTGTTTTAAATGTTGAGAGAACATTGAACATTGTAACATCTTCATACCGTTTTCAAAATGATCAAATGGAATTTTCGTCTAACGTTCACATAGATAAGACAAAATGTTTTGAAAGTGTAAAAAACATTCAGAAAGATATGTTTTCATAATGGTTTCAAAATTATAGAATGGAACATTTCTCTAATGTTGACATAACCAAGAAAAAATATTCTTTAACTATTAAAAAAAAGGTGTCTTAAAAGTAGAGAGAACATTCAAATGTAACATTCTCGTAATGTTCTCAAAATGTTAGAATGGAACGTTCCTCTAACGTTTGCATAACCAAGAAACAACATTCTTTAAACATAAAAAACTGATGTTTTAATGTTGAGAGAACATTCAAATGTTACATATTTATTAAAGTTTTAAAAACTACAAAAAGGAATGTTCCTTTAACATTCGCGTAACCAAGAACCAACATTCCTCAGATACAAAAAAATGGGTGTTCTAAACATTTGAGATAATATTCAAATGTAACTTTCTCGTAATGTTTTCAAAATGATAGAATGGAATGTTCCTCTAACGTTTGCATAACCAAGAAACAACATTCTTTAAACATAAAAAAAGGTGTTTAAATGTTGAGAGAACATTCAAATTTAACATTTTCATAATGTTTTCAAAATGTTAGAATGGAATTTTATTCTAACGTTGACATAACCAAGAAATAACGTTCTTTAAACACAAAAAATGGTTGTTTTAAATGTTGAGAGAACATTGAACATTGTAACATCTTCATACCGTTTTCAAAATGATCAAATGGAATTTTCGTCTAACGTTCACATAGATAAGACAAAATGTTTTGAAAGTGTAAAAAACATTCAGAAAGATATGTTTTCATAATGGTTTCAAAATTATAGAATGGAACATTTCTCTAATGTTGACATAACCAAGAAAAAATATTCTTTAACTATTAAAAAAAAGGTGTCTTAAAAGTAGAGAGAACATTCAAATGTAACATTCTCGTAATGTTCTCAAAATGTTAGAATGGAACGTTCCTCTAACGTTTGCATAACCAAGAAACAACATTCTTTAAACATAAAAAACTGATGTTTTAATGTTGAGAGAACATTCAAATGTTACATATTTATTAAAGTTTTAAAAACTACAAAAAGGAATGTTCCTTTAACATTCGCGTAACCAAGAACCAACATTCCTCAGATACAAAAAAATGGGTGTTCTAAACATTTGAGATAATATTCAAATGTAACTTTCTCGTAATGTTTTCAAAATGATAGAATGGAATGTTCCTCTAACGTTTGCATAACCAAGAAACAACATTCTTTAAACATAAAAAAAGGTGTTTAAATGTTGAGAGAACATTCAAATTTAACATTTTCATAATGTTTTCAAAATGTTAGAATGGAATTTTATTCTAACGTTGACATAACCAAGAAATAACGTTCTTTAAACACAAAAAATGGTTGTTTTAAATGTTGAGAGAACATTGAACATTGTAACATCTTCATACCGTTTTCAAAATGATCAAATGGAATTTTCGTCTAACGTTCACATAGATAAGA